AAAGTAGAGGTCCTACTAGAGGCTAGAATACTTGTTAGTAATTAGCATTTAACTTTACTCTTTTATAATGCTTTATGCTTTATATGCATAGAAATTAATTAACAGTCTTTTACTAAGTCTACTATTACTAATTTATAGTGTATAGCTAATTTGTTATTATATCTTAGCTCTGCTATATAAGTTACATTAGACTGTTATAATTTCTTTAATTTACACCCCCTTAGCTTACTGTACAAGGTGTTAAAGTGTAGCTAGTTTAGGGTGTTCTAGACACTTATGCTATAGCTCTACTAATGCCTTTTATAGACTACATTTAGTTCTTGTGTTAATTATGTGTGTATAATATAAGCCCTTCTGTAGTAGATAGTACTCTAACACTTATTAGCTATAGATCTCTGTAAGATCTTTAATTATTATTCTGTCTAAAGCCTTTAAAGTAGTTAGCTCTACTTATGTGTCCTACTAGATTTCTTTTTGTTGCAGTAGGCGGAATAAGACTAGGTTGCACAGCAGGTCTAAGCACAGTGCAGCGTTATGTAGTACAAGACTGTATGCTTAACTATGTGTTTTATGCTTACTTTTTAAGCTTAGTGTAATTAATCTGTAGCTTTAAATCTATATATAAGAGTTTCTAGACTAGATAAAGTTTTCTAGTGTTAGTAAATAATAGTTATAGATCTAATTAAAATTATTTATAATATAGCATGTTAAGCTTAAGTTAAGAATAAATAATTTTTTTAGCAAATATTTATTCTAGTTTAAATTAACTATAGCTAGCAATATAGCTGCCTTAACTTTTAATACTTTTTAGCTTTTAAGTTAGTCTTCTTATATCTTTAGTGTAGGTGTATGTAAACTTTTTAGGGTTAGTATCCTTAAATTATGTCTGCGCTGCCCTTTTAGTAGGCCTTAAAATTCTAAGTTGTGCTTGCGCTTTAATGCTATAAGCTCTTTAACTCTTTTATTTAGCATCTACTAGTCTAGTGCTCTGTCTAGATAAACATAGAAGTAGTTCTTTAGCGCATAGATGTGTCTACATGCAGGATATTTAGTGCTTCTTGTTTTAGTAGGTTTTTAGCTTAAAGATAACTTTCTGTTATCTTCTTAATAACATTAATGTTAAGGTCTACTTTATTTTCTTAATGTTACAACTTCTGCACTACAGGCGTTCTTATTTATGCCCTAGGTAGTCTTTTTACTTTTAGCAAAATATAATAAGTTATCTGTTGTAAAAGTAGCTTTATGCTTTCTTATATGTATTAGATAATTTAATATTATATGTTCTTAAAAGCGCTTTATTATTTCTTTTTAATTTATGTCTAGTGTAAACTGTCTGCTTTCCTAAAAGGTTGTAGACTAATAAGAGGCAACTTTATTTATAGTAGTTAGAAAGTCCTTTGCCACAGCATTAAACTGCGTTGTTTCTAGAACATTTTGTGTCTCTGCTTCTGTGGCAGCGTAGTCATACTCTGCTAGCTATAGGTCCTATATGCTCACGTTTTTTAGCAGCTTTAGGGATGCATTATATTAGTTGCGCGCGCGTTCTTGTTTAAATTAGTTGTTAACGCCTACTGTAGCTTTAAGGTTTGTAATCTACTGTCTAAGTAGTTAATCTAGGGAACAGCATGTACGCTGCAGATGCAGGCTAACTGTTGACTAGATAAAGACAATAATCTGTTAGAAGCTTAATTGCTCTCTTTTATAATTATGTCTGTCACTCTTGTACTTGTTAGCCTTAATCTTGTAGTATTTAATGGCTTCTTTAAAGGCTCTAACACTGCTTGTTGATAGCTTGTTCAGGTGCGTAGGCGTTTTGACGTTGGAGGCTGGTGAAAACTTAGCTATTAGCGGCATCTCTGGAGCTCTTGGTTTAGAGATCATTTGGATGGTCAACTTAGGATCCACTTGCGGCCAGATGCTGTGCGCTACACATCTCGATTGCAGCTGCATCATCCAGGCTCTGTAGTCGGTGTGGTCTCGAAGGACGACTGTCGCGTCTCGAGGAGGCTGGGTGGCCATTTTGTATCAATAGAGGCACTAAGACTCTTAATTGTCAGATTAAAGCACTGTTTCTAGGCTTCCTAAGATAAATAATAGGTTTAGATATAATGTATAGGATGATTGTTGATTGTATTGATTTATCAATCCTTTTTCTGCTCTACTTGTGTTGCTCGGCTTTTGTTCTGCCGATCCGAGTCCCTCGCGCACTAGCCCTATGCGCGACCAGCTTGCAACATGCTGCAATTTGCTGCAATTTGCTGCAACATGCTGCAAAATGCAGCAATTTGCAGCAACATACTGTTCGAGCTTATTGCTCGTACTATGTAGCAGCTTTCGTCAAACGTTCCTCCTGTCTTGACAGTAGGTGCGCATATCTGACACCTCCTCTAGGTAGCGCTGGCAGAACTCTACCTATAATGCTGCATTTAGAAAGACTAAGAGGTTTTAGATATATTCTTTACAGCCTTTAATATATGCTTATAGTTACTTATAAGACTTTTTTTTAAACTTTAGGGGTTAGTTAGGCTTAAGCAACTATAGCCTAAAAAGAGTGCCTACAGGAGCAGCTATCCTAGGTAGGAACAATAAGGGTTAGCTAGTAGCTGTCTATAGGGGGGCTGCTAGCCCTAGCCCTACAGGGGTTAGGTTATTATAAAGGGAGTTGTAAGGCCTTTAAAAAGATTATAATGTTTTCTTTAATTAGTCCTTTTAGAGTTATTTTAGTCTTTTTTTTTTTTTTTTACTTTTTTTCTTAGTTCTTTTTATTAGATCTTAGCATTTAGTTAAGTAATATTACTTATTATAATCTTTTTTAAAAGTGTTTTAGCTTAAGTAAAAAGGTCTAAGAGTAGCAGTCTCTAAGAGGGTTGCGCAAATGTCCCCCCTTTGTTAGATAGTCTGTCTGCAGAGGGAGTCTATAAGTCTTGTACAACACTAGCTTAGGTAGCAACAGTTATGCTAGGTATTATTCAGTAGGTAGAGAATTGTATTATAAAAAACAAGGTATACACTTTATAATTAAAAAGTGTATTAACTAATAAAGGTGTAACTATAACATAGAAGTATAATTAGTACCTGCTTAATTCCTAAGGCAATCCTTTACTATCTAAAGAGGGCTTTTACAACTAGCTATATACTTCTCTAGAGAGCCAGGCACAGCAGCGCTGGTAGCGACAGATCTAGTATGCTGTAGGTCCAGTTCAAAGTATTACCTGTCTAGGATGCCCAGCTTTTTAGGCGAGGTAGGCATTGTCTGGGAAGTGCGGGGTTAACAGCACGGTTCGGGAGTCGTCCGGGACTGCCTAGTGCAGTCTAGGCCAGTCTACGACAGCCTAGGAAACACCTGGATAGCCGGTCGTTACAGCGCCTACCTCATTACAGCCTACCCCTACCAAGTAGCAGGAATCCCCTGGGTGGTCCGTGCAGTAGGGAATGTGGGCGAAGAATCGAGGAAGGTGAGAGACTGTTATGCTTCAGTACTAAGTAGGTATTGGATTAATAGAAGTACTAGAGGCGCTTTAATTAAGAAGGATATTAGATAGATTGCTCTACCTAGGCTGCGCAAAAATAGCTAGATAATAACCACAGCTCCTCTGCAACCTGTAGGGAGGCCGTACCTATATACCTTAACGTGCTCGTCGTGCTCCCAAACAGTCCTCGCAGCAAGCATGGAGAGCACATCACCTGGCCTGGCTTTGTCACGTGATTCAGGCCGGTCCGTCCTTCTCCCGTATTATCTCACGAGTCAACGGCTCCAGAGATAATTTCGCTCAAATACCACTTTAGATTAGACAAAACTTCTGAAATCTTCTGGGATCTTCTGGCCCAATCAGACGTTGATTACTAACAACGCGCAAAATCATCTCCGGCGCAAGGGTTTTAGCCCCTGGCGGCCTCTGATTAGTGCCGGAGTTTCCAGAGGTTTGTGCTCGCTTCTCATTGGCTCAGAAGTTTTCAGAAGATGCCTTGACCACTAGCTACCATGCTAAGCCTAATCAGAGCTCCGCCATAAGGTCAATTTGCCTACCGCGTCGGATTTATTAGATAACTTCCGTAGGGTTAGCCTTGACGGTGCCCCTTCTGCCCAACCAGACACTCGTAACAGAAACACGGCAAGATCGTCGTCCGATCAGGCTTAGAGGGCCCCACTACGGAAGTGGCTTTCGCGTTTCGTATGAGTATTTAGGTGGTGCGGCGACGGAATGGGCATGGGGCAGTGAGAGCGTTCAAGGTGGGTGCGGCAGAGCTTTTAGACATCTTAGTAAGGTTACGTGGCATATAAAAGGGATAAGTGGGCTATGAGTGCTTAGTCCCTTAATTCATTTCCTTGGCGGTCCACTTACCCGGCTAGGTATAGTTTAATGCCTTAGACACTATCCATGAGTGGCCCACCTACCCATGACGAACCCTTCTTGACTAGCTCGAAGTCATTACAAGCAGAACTCATCTAAATTCTTCAGTTTCCTCGACCAAAGTGAAGTCTCAGGAAGTACTGTGGTTAGGATTGTCAGCCAAGTCTTCCGTTAGGATCATCATGCATCTTGGATGTTTGGAGTGCCTTTCCGCTCCAACCATCCCTATTTAGCGGCCTACAAAGGACATCATTCCGGACGTGGTTAAAATCGACAAGATTTGCTGAGTACTCTACTCCTAACCCACAAATATCAAATCTTTCGTCCTCGCTCTCTTCCGAAATTTGATAACTTGAACCTGTCTGAGGATCCCTCGTAGACGTTCGCCGTATTTTCAACCGAACGCCCACGGGTTGCACACGGAGGAACTCGATGAGCTTGGGAAGTCCGAGTGGAGGGCAGGCCATGTGAGGCTCCAAGCGAGCCAATAAGGAAACATCTTCTCCTTGCGCATTCCCGAGCAGCCCCATCCAATATATGCGAGTCTAATCCTTCAGGGCCGATATTGTTTGATGAGGTCAGTATTTTTAGCCTAGTAAATGTATAAGACTACCTTCTCGCTCACGGCCTTCCTACCCTTCATCAACTTCGATTTTTCCCGCTCACCCGCAGAAGTTGGATTCAACATGGCCCCAGTATTTAACCTGCTGTGGGTGCTTAGCCTCCTTCCTGCGAATGTCGCTGTTGCGCAAACGGCCCCCATAGCCGACGTAGGTTACGCAAAATATCGCGGAACACAAAACACTACCCTCGGCGTCAACACATTCTTTGCCCTTAAATTTGCCGAAGCACCAGTCGGAGCCCTGCGTTGGAAAGCTCCGAAGCCAATCGAGGATTCAAAGAACTTCACAACTGGTATTCTGGATGCTACGACTGCGGGACCGAGTTGCGTACAAGGCTATCCCTACTGGATCTTACCCAACCCAGGAAGGCCTGCAGGTTCTGAAGATTGCCTCCACTTGAACGTAGTCACACCTTCGAATGCCACTTCAACCTCAAAATTACCTGTGCTTGTTAACATCCACGGGGGTGGATACACATTGGGAGATGGGAATTCGATCCAGCCCTATGCACTTGTTCGGCATTCCAATAATAGCATTATTGTAGTAAATATCCAGTATCGGCTTGGTTCATACGGGTTCATGGGTTCGAAAAAGTTTTCCCGCGCCGGAGGGGCCACGAACCTGGGATTACTCGATCAGCGGCTAGCTATTGAGTGGGTGCAGAAACATATCTCTACCTTCGGAGGAGACCCAAAGAAGGTTACAATCATGGGAGGAAGCGCAGGAGGAGGTAGCGTAACAAGCCAAATGATCCTATATGGAGGTGTCCGGAAACCGCCTTTCCGGGCCGCAATCGCCGAGTATCCGTGGTGGCAGCAATTTTTGAGAGACCAGCAGTTGGAAAAGCAGTATAATAATCTGCTTTCAGCAGCTAACTGCACGAATATGTCCTGCCTCAGAGAAATGTCTGAGGATGCACTTGCGTTAGCCACTCAAGCAACGTACGCGAAAGGGTACGCAGATGAGGCGTATGGATATGGCAACTTCTACTATGGGCCTTCGGTTGATGGATATGTTATCCAAGATCTACCGAATGAGGAGTTCAAAGCAGGCCATTACACCAAGGTCCCGCTGCTCATCGATCGAGACCAGTATGAGGGTTTCGTGTTCACCAATCAGTCTATCACAACGACGGCTGAGGAGACGAGAGACATGCGCGTGCAATTCCAGTACGCAGATGATACATTCATGCAGCAGCTGTACAATCTCTATCCTGCGTCAGCGTTCAATTCGACAGTTTGGCAGCGGCAAACTTGGTTCGGGTAAGTATCGGCGCACGGTCGGGTATAGCGTCATACTAACAAGTGACTGAGGGATTTTATCATCAACTGTCCCACCTACTTCGTTGCTTCGGCCCTTACTTTAACTGGCCAAAAGGTATGGAAATTAATTTTTAACGCGGGGTCACAGGAGCATGGGGCTACTGGCCCTTATCTCTTTGACATTAACTACAACTCTTCTCCGAGCGCAAACGTAACATTAGCGAATATCATGAAAGATTGGTTTATTTCGTTCATCATTCATACTGATCCAAACACGCAAAGCTGGAGCGGCGTTCAGAAGCCGAGCTGGCTTCAGTACCAAGCAGAAGCCAACATAATGGACGTCAATTACACCCAGGTGGGAGTACTGAGCGACAGATATTTTGACAAAAGCGAAAGGTGTGACTTCTTTTCTGAAAATGGTGCCATTATCCAAAATCGTTAACCGGTGTTGGGGAAGTATTTGCTTATCAGCACTCCCGGGAAGCCTCAGAATTTGTATGCAGTTAGTAGGAGATCTATGCAGAGGCTATAAGCTGTAAGATATCATACACACAATAGAATGAATAAACCGATCTACTTACGCTTCATTAACCCATTCGGTCAGCGGCGTGATGTTTTCCGAGATGATACACTTCTCTCTTTCCCTCCTAAACTTCAAGTACCAAAGCTGCAATTCCTAACCTGCGTTATCGGAAACACCCCACTCAATCCCAGTCTCACTTCCCATAAACCCGGAGGTCTCTAGTCTATAGTTTATCTCTTCTACAAGTTCCAAGAAATGTTCAATTTCTCAGTCCTGAAAGAAGTCGTTCCCCACGAATCGCCCGAGCATGATGTGCGCAGGGGGTGCGATATAACACATGTCGATGCTGACTCTGCTTCCAATGCTAGTGTATTCGTCGCTTCTTAAATGGTGATGCGTATATTCATCTTAGGCTGATGGCAGAAATGTTAACGCAACACCCATCTTGTCGAAGACTATTCGAGGAGAACTAGAAATCCTAATGTCCTCCATGACCGCGCGGAGGTGCAATACGGCATGTCACTGGGACAGCTCAATTATCACATCGCCTTTCTAGCTAGAAAGGACTTCCGCATAATCCTAAAGGGGCACCTGCCCCTGTCCATACTGAAGTTCGTGTATTTTTACTAATGATTGGAGGAGGCGGTCAAGCCCAAATCGCCAGACAATTGACCTTCTGCCAATCTCGGTTTCCCAGTACGGAAACATTCCTCATAGTGTTCTGAACATCTAAATACTTGAGAAGTGCTTGATCTGCTACCACAGGATTGGATGTGGAGGGATTGAAGCATGGCGTTGAGAGGCTATGTACGAGTCTCTATGAGAGGTATACGCTTCCTGGGCTCATGCCTGGAGAGATTAGATCAGGATGAAGCAATAGCAGAGATTAACGCCAGGCTCACGGAGTCTCTCCGGCAGTCAGGGTGATCCAGCATATCATTGCACCAGTTTCTCTTTGAAGAAGGACCAGCGATGAGGGTAGGAAAAGGGAATCCCGTCATGCTAGCGAGCAAGCTGCTAAAAGTGCAGTCTACGACCATAAGATTAGAATGAGAACGATTCTTCGGTTTTAGTAACTGCTAATTCTTGGGCCACAGAAGGAGAAAACTTCATGACCTATCCTATGCGCTAAACTATCAATGGTGATTGCGGCAACCGTTCCCAAGTTGGCCGACGCTGGTCCGGCGCCTTTCATTAAGGGTTTTAACCTTCAACCTCATTTCCCTCCTTCTAGATCTTCTTCTGTATTAGCAATTTAGTCCTAGCCTTCCACACAGGCCACAAGAAACGTTGAACCTGTCAGAGGAATTATCGTGGCGGGCAGTATCCACCACTGTGAAGAAGCTTACAAAACTGAAGAACTAGGCATGTGTTGCTTACGAATGCGGTCAATCACATCTACGATGGGCGTTAGTTGTAATTTATCTTGGACTAGGTTTCGCATGGTTAGATGAGGCGCCGAACATTAATTGCGTGGAACTCCTTGCAGCGTTTCCATTAGGAAGTAGTACGATTCGACTCAGGCTTTCTAGACAAGTTACGTCTCACTTATTATATACTTTTGTTTGCTTCACCTAACAGCAGGGGTTAATATAATTAAGTTACAGTTTAATTAAAGCTGCTTGTACTTAACTTTTTACTAAAAGTTATAATGTAACTGTTAAAGCTTTTAGAGTAGTAAGTCCCACTTACTTTTAATATAGCATGTAAGGTTATTTAATTTACTAAAAACAACCTTATAACATAGCTAGTTCAGCCGGTCGTTACAACAGCCACGGCAGCACCTATAGGAGCCACCTAGAGGAGAAATAGTTATCTTATAGTTAATTAGACCTTATTCCTATGTCTTTAGAGGCCTATAGCTAAGCTGTTTTTACTAGAGTATAGCGTACTTTAATTAAATTGTACTACTCGTACAGATCACGTGAGCTGTAACAGAAATGATATGTACACCTACCTCTCCTCCTCCCTGTTGTACGAACGTACACAAAACCTCACTCGTACAGGCCTCAAAATTGCCCAATCGTATAGTACTACGCCTCGTTGGAAGCCCTGCAAGCAGGGAGCTGTCGTATTTCAGTTGGCGGCCAACCATTATTTGCGCCAAAGGCAACACAGCTAATCCTAACTATTGAAGATACTCTGTGGAATATTGGCATTGTTCTCCTATCTTCAATGTGAAATATGCCGCTCGCTACCACTTGCGCTACTCGCAACATCATCGAGGCACACAGATATGATGGCGCGGACGCGGTTACATAGGACTCCAGATTCAAAACATGTTCCTAGAGGCCTGTGTTGCTAGGGAGGTAGTTCATTCATAACTGTATCGAACAGTGACTCCCTTCGAGCCCTGTGGGACAGAGAAAACCTCCGCAGGCGGTGTTCCATTCTCGGGATCATGCCCTTTGGGATCTCCCTCTCTATAGTGTATTGGAACCATTCTGCTAGCTTTAAATTATCCTTTGTCGAGTCTTTTGGCTGTCCCGGAAGAAGTTAAGTTTCCAAGAAGGTTGGGGCAAGAAGATTACATACCTAACTAAAGTACTTGTTTCCTGGCCTTTTTCAAACGTGAACTTTTCAGGATGGGAGAACTAGGGATAGTATACACTTCCTTCCCTGCTCTTCGCTTCCCAGCTGACCTGATACTCGTCAATAATGCAGCCGAGAAGGACCGGAAGAAGGAGAATACTAACTTGGTACTCATTTTGTACTTCACACTTCCTCAAGTTCAAACCCGAATAGCTCTGTTGATCCGTGAAAATACAACTGAATTCACTGCTCCGTAGTCTGGTACCACATTCTAATTCTCCAGCCCTCCTATTCATTCAGTGCCGAGCATCTAGGAGGGGTAACCAGACTAGATAGTTTGAGCTTGGGGATATCGGGCAGAGGACCATGACCTTTAAGGATGGTCCAGTCAGATACGTAACCTGTCTAGATATCGACCTGTAAATGTAAGTACTCAACAGGGTGATAGTATCAGGTTAGGACTTATAACAAAGCACCACTACCATCAGTGACCCAGCTTGAATTAACAGCTCCAATCCAGTACGATTGTTTCCATTTAAAAGTTTAATGCTAAGAAAGTTCTATTATTTCTCGCTATTTGCTTTGGAAGATCGTATTAATCTCATTGTTAACCTTTCTGGCGAGAGTCAAAGTGGAGGTAAGGTGTACATGACCTTCGTTATTCAGTTTCAGCAACCCAGAATCAATACAGATCACAAGTGTAATTAAGTGTGCATCGGTCATTGAAAGAGGGTCTTGACCTTCGAAGTTGAAAATTCATGGTAGAGTCAAATATCGGGTAGAATCGAGGGGGGATAAGAACTAGACTACGTGAAATGATTTGATTTGTATCCTCTCAATGCCCCATCAATAGCTCTTAGTAGAGTGATTTCGATGTATAGTAGAGAGTATGGAATGATCTTTCTGATGGAACCATATCATGGCTGGTCCTGTTCTAGACTCGCCGTGAGAATATGTCATTAACGAATAGTGTCCATAGTGGGTAATTGAGGCATGATGTTGACTGATACCATGAAGCAGTACTCGAGGACACAAAGAAGCTGGATACATTCTGGAGCAGGCGCATTGGGTCTAGAAGAAGGCTCGCCAATGTTGTAGGAATCCCACTTCCGCGTCTTGACCCAGAGTGAGTATAGCCGTAGAGCAGATTACCCTGATGATTTAGTCATGTCTCGCCTTTTCTCAGTGTATATTCCTTGATGATCATGCTGATGTTAGAGCGCAGGTTTGCTGAAATACTGAATCCGTGGACCTGGATCAAGGATTGCCTTCGATATTGCGATCATAAGTGTTGAATTCCTTCCTGCCGGCTGATTAATCAGTGCTTGACGCGCCACACATGCAGCAAATACCAACTCAGAGGCGAAGTTTATGACGCATCATCGCCGGACACCCAATTGGTCCTGATGCATTTAACTCATCTTATCTGTAACCATTTTTGTAAGTACGTGAACCAGTGTGCAGACGAAAGTAAGAACAAGAGCCGCAAAAGGATACTCCCAAGTTGGAGTTGCGACTAACCTTACAATCTAGGGTATTTACACGATTTGAGTAGCATAAATCTTGGAATGTAGCGACCTCTATACTTTTTCCGATTTGAGATCTCCCTAGGTCTCGAACGGCCGTGGCCTCTGTAATATGATATCTCCACGAATTATCTGATTATATATCTGTATTTTCCTGTTGGGGAATCTCATGGTTCGTTACGTAAGGGGCTGAGCTGTGGGAGCGCCGCTAGCTGCTCTCCCATGCAACCATTAGTTCATCACGTCAGGACGCAAGCGAAGTGAATGGAATTTTGGGGTCGGGGCCATGACTCGTATGGCCCTCTTTCGATTTGGGGAACATTTCAACCGAGGAACTCGAATGTATGATTGTTTTCGAAGGACATGCCTTGGTGACTTCCATGCCTTACGAGTTCCCAACCTTAGAAGCTGGTTTGAACTACTGACAAGACTCTTAGAGCACATTAATATGGGCTCCTGATTGCAACTTAGGGGAATAACAGCCTCAGCATAGCTTAGTCTTATCTCCTACGATAGATCCAGCACTTAGCAAGTCATTAACCATGCCTCAAATAGCGCTACTATATAACCCCGGCTAAGTCGAGAATTTCAGACGTATTCTTCAGTGAACGAAACATTGTGGTGATATTTGTTTGCCCTAGAGAGCGGATGAGCTTATGAGAATGGTAGGGATGTGAACGGCCAATGTGGGGGAGGAAGAGAACCAAGGTCTGGAGGAGCGGAGACCTCCGTCAATATAGAGCTTCCCCACCCATCCAAAATTAAGTAGAGGATATGTTAGGGGCATGCAAAATTGTCCCTCTCGGTGCCTGTCCTAGGTTTTGAATCCATTTTATATCTAGGTAAGTGCTTACACATTCTTCCACCACCCCAAAGACGAGGGATCAACAGCTGCCATCGATATCGAATCTATCGAGTCCTCAGATGATTCACAGAAAAAAAAAATGGACTACGTCCAAGAACGAAGTACCGCGATGACCGAAGGGAATCGTTGGCGTTAGTGTCTTCGGTTTAGCAGTTTTACATCAGTCTGAAAACAGTTCAAACTACTAAGCAGACTTAGCAACAATTAAGTTAACTTGTTAACTTAACTTAATTAACTTAATACTATTAAGTTAATTAAGTTAAGCATAGAAGCTAAATTTATTAAGTTAATTAAGTAAATTTTACTTACTTAATTAACTTAATTAACAGACTTAATAGGCTGTAATATTATAAGTTTTACTAAGAAATTACTAAAGGTTACAGTATCTTCTAGTACATAAAGTAGTAAATTCTAGTTATAGCTACTAAGGTAGTACCTTACTGCCTACCTAATAGAGCTTAGCGTCTTCTATTCTACTAACATAAAAGCTTACTGCCTACCTAGTAGAGCTTAGTGCTTATCTAAACTTATTATAACTTTAACATGTTATCTTACCTACTTTACTAACACTTATCTCTATTAATACTAACACCCTCTTTATTAATATAGCGTTGCCTAATTATATAGAGGGTATAAATAGTAACTTTATCTAAGTTTTTAGCTAGCAGCTTAAAAGCATAGTGTTATAAACTATTTTTAAAGATAGCGCTACTAATATAGCTACTAACATGTTGCTAGAGCTTAACACTAATAAAAGCTTTATAAGTAAGTTATAATTAACTACTAATAGTAATATTAATAATAATAATAATAATAATTATAACAGCATTAACTAGCTACACTTATTAGGTTATTATAAGCTACTCTACACACTAAAGCGCAGTTAAAAGAGCTAAGTTTAGCAATATAAATATTACTTTTAGCATTAAAAGTAATAATGCTTATATTAGCTTTACTATTACTACTACACTTATAAGTAACTTAATAGCTTTTATTAAGCTAATTTATTAACTACATTAATTACACACTATTTTAGAGAGTGTAAAGCTAGCTATAGCATTAATAAAAACAGTAAAAAGTCTACCTACTATGTTATAACAACATCCTCTACATAATCCTCTCTACTTGCCTATATTTATTATAAAGGCTTTAGAGTATTATAAGGTGTTACTAATTTTATTATATTAAGCTTTTTATATATAACTTTTTTATAGTTAGTACTTAATTAAGTAGTAGCTAATAACTAAGTGCTTTTTATAATTAAAGGCGCAGCTTTTTATAACATGTTATAGTAAGCTAACCTATTAGCAAAGACAGAGCTCTAGAGATCTTATAATACTTTATAAGCCTATATAATTACTAAGTATAAGTTTTATGTACCTACTATTATTAATTACTTATGTAATGTATAATTAGCTATTTATATCTCTTTTAATAATTAGACATTAATAGGTAGTAAATAAGTGTTAACAGGTATTTACATCTACTACCTTAATAGTAATAGTAAGCCTTATAATTATATATTAAGCCTACCTTTATTAATAGGCTAGCATATAAGTGTTAATATTACTACTATTATTAACACTATGCTTAAAAGCTTTAAAATATCTGTGTGTAACTTAGGCTACTTTATTTTTAATAATGCTACTAATAATAACACTGCTATTAACACTCTAGCTATTAAATATAGCTTTAACACTTATTATTAACGCCTATATTACACTTACTATATAATTAATCTTACTGCTTAATAGATTATATTTAGTAAAGATTAAAAAGCATTTAATAATATAAAAGAGTACTTAAATAATAAGGCAGCTTTTCTTAATAAGTAGCAGTAAGCAGGCCCTCTAGGCGTCTTAATTAATGTTATTGCCTTTATCTATACGCTGCAAGCTTGCTAGCTTCTTAAATAATGCTAAGTAGCCTATAACACTTAATTAGATAGTAATAGTAAAGTAAAAACACTAAAAATTATTAAGCTAGTAAAGATAAAATAAAACTTTTATTATAATTATTTTTTACATATACTTAAGCTTTATATGCTTTTTAATAACTATATTAACTATAAGCTTATTAAGTACTAACGCTAAAGCACTTATTAATGCTTATAACTACTTAATCTTAAGTAGTGTTGCTTTATCTAAGAGAATAGCTTTAGTGTAAAAAATTAAGTAATAATTATAAAGTATTATAAAATTCTATAACCTTTTAAAGAGGCTACTATTTATATAAAGGGCAGGGGCGTAGCTAGTATGTTAGAAGTAATATAAAAGGTTTTACTTACACTTACTTAGCTTACTACTACTCTTAATAATATACTTTATTAATATAATAATGTTAACTTTAATAATATTAATGCTTTAAAAGACTATATAAAAGCTACTTATAATATAGCTTATATAAAGATTTATAAGTATCTATATAAGTTAAAAGATACCCTAGCATATTATATAGCCTACTGTCTCCACCTGCGCATAAAAGGCTACATAGATAAGGTGTAAAAGGTGCTTTATAATTATAATAAGAAGCTTTATATAAGGCTTTACCTTTATAAAAGCTAGCTAGATAATTGCTATGTTAGCTTTTAACACTTATAAGTAGAGTTTAAAGATGCTACCTTTTTAATTAGTACACTAGAGCTACTACTAAAGAAGGCGCGTACTAGGCTGTCTAGAAGCTAGTTAGACTTTATAAGAGCTACTTTATAAAGTAATAACACACACTTATCTCTTTACTATAATAAGTTTAAGTAGTAGATAATTAAGTTACCTATGCTAAAAAAGTTTTTATTTACACATAATTTAATTATCTACTAAATTAGAAAGGCTAATAAGTACTTTATCTTATTACGCTTTGCCCTTATAGTCTTTAGTATTTCTACTATAGCTACTAACTATAAAAGGACCTTTTCTAAATTAGGTAATTTATTAGAAATAAAATAATTATTTATAAAGGTAGATTTTTTATCTACTTTATAATTACTATATAGCTAGAAGCGCTTTAGCTTAAAGCCTATAACAGCATTAAACAGTCTCTATAATAATAGTATCTTTTCTAAAAAGCTTAAGACTATTTATAATATCTATAGTTAATTTAATATGCTGTAACTATGCTGTAAAGCTATTAATTAAGTTAAGTTAATTAATTAAGCTAGCTCTTTTTAGGGCTATTAAGTTAATTAAGTTAAGCAAAAGCTACTAAATCTGTTAATTAATTAAGCTATTCACCTTAACTTAATTAACTTAATTGTTGCCAACTCTGCTACTAAGCCTGTTAAAATCCTTGTTCCGCTCCTCTAAACTACCTCATCGAGTCCCCCCGAGCCCGTTCCGTCACACTGTGATCCCCGTCATTAGTATCCTGTCAGCAAATCACGCGCAAGTCGTGCGCAGACGCGGCCGCAACTAAAGTCGTATCATCCTGCTACCAGAAGCTAGGTTAAAAAGTGAACATGAAAATCTAAGGCTAACGACACCTATTACCACAACTATTAGTGTTTCCCAACTCCAACCCCACCTCACAGACTAAAATATATATGCGTCTGGAACTGAGGCTCTGCCAACCTTTAAAGAAAACCTCCACAGACGTTGTCTCTGATACTCACTGTCCAGATAAGCCTAGCTCCGCCTCCCCCATCAATTTCTCCATCTGAACTAAAACAGCGACCTTTCCTAACACATTCAACCCACACTCAGCCTTCCAATCATCAAAAATCCTCCCTTTAATTCCCTAATCATCTCAATCCAACGTTTCCCCTACATCAAGCCCTCCTCGCCTTCCATCTCCGCGCCAGAAAAAGACGGCTGCGCTATCATCACCGACTTCACCACCCCGTCAACCGTTGAAAAGGCACGTGCAGAAGTGGGCCATACCTCGACTCCAAACAACCAAACAGCACCGTTGAGGCACTGAAGGGCGGCACAAAAACCTGCAAGCAGCTAGTTAGCCGTAGCACAGCAGTTCCCGAGACATTATTCAGCGATGCATTATATCAAGAAATTGTTTCGCATTTCCTCTCCATTTCAAAGACGAATTGGTACAGGATGGACGCATCCACAAATACATGCCCGCCGCTACTAAGTATTGCGATTACATTGGATATCCGGCAGGGCCCCGCGGCGCAGCGGTTGCATCGCGACGATAAAAATCACTACGTGCACCTGCACTCCAGTGAGTATACGTTGGGAAGGGATATGTTACTTGGATAATTCGTCCGGTTGGGACACCATCACCGAGAACGGTGCAATGCGCATTGTCTTGGGAAGGCTATGGTGTGACGAGACACTTGATTTTAGAAAGGACGGGTGTAAAGGGATTATGGATGTGGGGTTGAAGGCTAGAGAGGTATTTATGATGCTCGGGAGTTGGTGTCATGGGGGTGGAGAGTTTAGGTGTGAGAAGGGACGTAGGGTGATGCATATAGATGAGCAGATTATCCTTCCTTTCCAGGAAGAAAGTGGCTAGTCCCGATTAGGAAGGATAACGGGCTTTGCTTGGAAGGTCTTGGCAGCGCCAATCATATTTGGAGGGAAAAACCACGCAGCAGAAGTGATTTTAACACCCCCGACCGCGTCGTCTTCGATCACGATAGGGAAACAGGCCAGATCAAGCATGTAGCAGAGCAGAATGATTACTTGAAGCTTAAAAACGTAGAACAACAAAGCTTTTTGGTTATTTGATTTTCTACCAATCAGATCAATAACCGGCTTATATCCAGACCAATAGGAGAGAGGGCTTGGCGATAGAGATACAGGGGGGTCTCCTGAACGGACTGTTCCGCGTGCACAAACCAACATCCGTGCGTAGAATGTTCTGAATAAGTTACAATCCTTTGTAAGCAGGTTGCTAAGAAACTTATGTACCTTGCTCAGCTCATGCTACCACTATTATACACCTCAATGCCAAAGACACCAAAACGACGATTAACGTACAAGGAGCGCATACAGATCAACACCCTCCATGATATAGGCTGGAAACAGAAGGATATTGCCCAGAAACTTGGGATACCTCCTTCGACAGTCTCTCTCTGCCTCCGTACGCCTGAGACGCCCACGAAGCCTAAGGGACGGCGCCCTATCCTATCAACTCCGTTTCGAATCCTTCTCGTACGCCATGCGACTGAGAACGCTGAGCAACGTTGGAAAACTCGAGAGGAGATAGCTCAGGAGCTAGGGATCACCGTCTGCCGCCGATCACTTATCAGGGCGTTTAAGAAGGAGCTCTATCATCGTCGTAAAGCAACAGAGAAGCCCTTCCTTACTGAACAACACAAGGCAGATCGAATTAAGTGGGCATAGGATCACCTATACTGGACCAACAATCAGTGGGCTAATGTCAGGTGGAGCGACGATATGAGTGCTCAGGCAGGCCCTAGGGAGATTTTTGTGACAAGAAGGCCTAAGGAGCGCTTCCTACCTGCCTGCTGCGTTCCTCAATTCAAGGACTACTCTAGCTGCATGGTGTGGGCAATGATCTCAAGAGACATGAAGGGCCCTCTGATCGTATACGAGAAGAGTTGGTGTACGAACAAGAAGCGCTCAGTTAATTCAAAGGTATATATTAAGCATATTCTGCCTCTGATCATGGCGTTTCGAGACGCGTACGCTGCGTACACAGGCAGGCAGTTGATCTTGATGGAGGATAACGCCTTAATCCACACATCTTGCGCTACAATAGCGGCTGAGGACGCTCTTGGTATCCCAAAGATGTGGTGGCCATCAAACTCACCTGACCTCAATCCTATCAAGAACGTCTGGCAGATGTTGAAATATCGCCTAGGGAAGCGCTTTCCAAAGACAGACAAGGAGGTGAGGCAGTATCTCCTTGAAGAGTGGGAGAAAATCTCTTTTAGTGACTACTGTCGCACGTGTCTCACGCGATATCATACCCATGTACTGCACTATTCACTCATTAGGCATAGCTCCTATCTCGTACAGTATATAGTCAGCTCAGAGCTCTATCGAGCTCCTCAGACCTTACAATACACTCATTCCACCTTGTTTGGATCTCGCTCCCTTGTCGAGTCGTTTGCCATATGTCCCCTCCTCAGCTCATGCAAGAACTACAGCAAGTATATTAAGTTAATGAGGCAGCGCTGTTAGGATGTGATCGTGGCTGAAGGTGGGCATACAAAGTGGTGAGAGTGTGGTAAGACAATGTGACGGTACGATGCGTATTTGTATGTATTTTACATAGAAAACAGCATTCGAGAGCATTCGAGAATCGCTGGCCTGTGCACGCGGGTGCAGCCCGTTCAGGAGAGGGCCCTGTAGTGTAATATTTGATGTTTTGCTGATCGGGAATTTATCGATAGGAGATAAGCTACTTGTCGTATCCAATCGAGGATGTGAGGGGCTATAATAAGGTGGTGCAAGAGAGATTGGGTGGAAGCAGTCGGGGCCGAAATTGGGATGGGTGTATTTTAAGAGTCCAGAGTGTCTGCTGAAATGGGGAATGGTATTATGCAGGTGCTGAAACTGAGATAAATGACAGCGAGAAAGGAAATTTGAACAATATGGTATCAACAGCTTATCCTTCCCACCCCAGTCCTCTCCTGAACTCCTTCCCTATGAGAGCAATACCGACAGAGTGCTTGGGAATGATGCAAAGACAATATGGTGATAGAAACTCGCAGTCCGAATTCCCCTTCGTGTAGACACTTCTCTTGTCCTTTCCTGAACTCCTTAGATACGCGAGCAATACAGGCCGAGGCCTTAAAAATAATTCAACCGCTATTAAGTAGGCGATGCCAGCTCATATTTCCTATCGCCGGGTCCCTTCGAATAGGCATCGGTCCCATCCATCTCAATTGGAGCAAGGCTACTGTCAGCCTCATGCACACACGGAAATTCGTGCGCTGACTTATCCGACAGTTCAACGTCGCCAGTGAAGGGGTTTGTCGGGTCGGACCGCACGGCGAGTGCTTCGAGTTCTGCTGCCTGGGATTTTCGTGATTTCCTTCTCCGCCAAAACCAAGCTAGCAAAAGAGCGGAGATGAGAAGCAAGGAACCGAGAACAACCGAGACAGCAATCGCAGTAGTATGCGAGGATTTCTTTGGAGGATTCGAGCAAAATGCGGCGATGTTTCGTTTTGAGGAATCCCAAGGTTGGATCGATGCGGGAGCAAGCCCGAACCTTCCAGCCGCCCAATCGATAACCATGTAGTTTTGCGAAAGAAAGACTCCGCCAAGTAGTGGCACGTTCAGCATCCCACCTTCAGGAGAGACGACGGCAGACATGGCCCTGCTTGTGTTGGTAACGGTGTAAAGTCCTTTGCTGTTCTGATATCGCTCGTGCGATACCATCTCAAAGTGCGGAATTGTGGAGGTATACGCCTGGCCCTGGTCATTGCTCATCTTGATCTGGAGCTCTCCCATCAAGGACTCACTCGACCAAGGATATGTTTGTTCTGTATATGGGGGCGAATCGTCAGTAGCCTTTGGGTGTTTTGTAAGGTTTGTCCACGTTTGCCACATTTCCTGGGTAAAGGTGAACGCGTTCTGAACTGGATCTATGCAGAAGGGAATCTTGGAGAATCCAGATGATGGAAGAAGGGAATTTGAGCTGTTGGAGGTCACGAGGGTTGCACCGTCCACAAGAACTTGAAAGGGGCAGTTGAGTCCAGCGAACCGATTGCCGATAGGGAACCAAGTGAAAGAGCCATTTACGCGTGATGTGTCGTAACCGCCAAAAACTATTTCCCCGTCGGTGGAATGAAGTTCACTTCGACTCGCCATAAATATTCCAACTTCGCCAGGCACTTCGTCAAATAATCCAGCCTTAACGAAAGCTTTTATCGTCGACGAGTCATTTGAGCCCAGCCCAAGAGCGGTACGATTGGAGATATACGTTTCCGTCCACAAGGCAAGTGGATACCCAGGGACTTGTATGTCTCCACTGAAAGTCGCCGTGTCCCATCCACGAAGAATGTGTGAAGTCTCCTGGTAGGTTGCATTGTTCACTGGGTCAATCGTACTCCCGTTCCATCCTCCATCCGGTGCTGCTTTCCAAGTTGGGCTCTTTTCGACAAAGAAGACGCCACCAGAGCGACCAACACAACTTGTTGCATTCGAGGCGCCGTTGGTTAACGACCTGCAGTCTTCGCCATTCTCAATGATGGTGTTGTTCCAAAAGAAGGTCAATCGCATACCTTAGAGTTAAAATTTAGTGGTGGGGAATAGTAATCCTGATTCAGCGGACTTACCCTGCGGCTGGCCCCCTATGCTAACAGGGAGCCCTCTGTTCAAAGCAACACCATCACCAATAGTGTTGTTCTTGATAGGGAATGCCCAGTAAGGCGCCTTGCAATTTGTTGACCCCGAGACGCCGCTCATGATTGAAGATTCTCAAGATCGTGAAGGGCTGGATGAAGTGGTGCGCGAGAGAGGTCCATTTGAGGGGTACTCCACCAGCAATGTGCCGGACCCGAGCCTGTGCTGGCATTCAGCCCTTGCAGGGCACAGCTGGGAGTGCACTCAGGTTGACATTCCGTGTTACAGGCGACGTTCCATATCGTACGAGAGTCGAAATATACTTGTGGTTAGACTCTCTATCTAATGCCCGAATTAGGCATGGTCACATCGAATGCATGAGGCTGCGTGCCGAAAGGCTTGGACACAGCAATATTTTTAAAGCTGAGGTCGGCGACGCCGCACCCACAACGGTGTAACACGATAACCTTAAAAAGTTAAATTAAATCAAGGCGAATCAAGAGTTCAAGGGCGACGGTCCGGGGGGGACCGCCTGCGGTCAATGTTGAAAATGACTCTATTTCTGCGATTGAGCAATGCCTATTGACTAAGTGAAGGTCGACGGTTGGAGGCAGGGAAGAGCGGGTGGCTTCCACACACGTGATGAGGCGTCCCGAAGCCACCTGAAGTCTTTGTGGGCTTGCATTTCACGCCGTGTCCGAGCGGATCACCATTGTCCAATTCAGTCTGCCATCTCCTCCACGACTTCTCCATCATTCCCCAGTCCGAACAGAATCGTGAGAATGTGCCTATGAGATGTTGCTGTCGCGGCGCCTGAGTCATCTCCTCATTATCATGATCTCACTCCGCTTTCACTTGCTGTGTCCTTGACCACAATTGGACCATTGTACGAGCCCTTGTCATCGGCAGCCATGATGTTCCTATTCAATCCGACAATTCACCAGCCTCCACCATCGGCACCATGCCTCCATCAGCCACCACGAGCGAGAATGCAGGTACCTTCCAAAATCACGCTTCTCAAGAGATAGCCATCGTCGGTGGCGGCCTCGGGGGACTCGCCCTTGCCATCGGTCTCCTCAAGCACCATGTCAATGTCCACATCTACGAGTCCGCTGCTGCTTTCTCCGAGACAGGAGCCGGTGTAGCATTCGGTCCCAACTCTACGAGAGCCCTCGGGCTGATCCACGATGCTTTGCTTGAAGGTTACAAGAAGCATGCCACGTTTAACGAGAACCGCGACCACGATCACACCTTTCTCTCCTTTAGGTGGGGCATGGATGAGAAGAAAGAGGGTGGGAACAAGGCAGGAGATTTGATGTGGCACCTCGAGGATCTCTGGAATACGGAGGGCGCCCAGAAGCTAGATGTGCGGACGAGGAGCTGTATCCACAGAGCGAGGCTATTGGACGAGCTGGTCGCATTACTGCCGCAAGGCATAACGAGCTTCAGAAAGAACTTCGTTAGTGCTGAAGAACAGCTAGACGGATCGGTCAAGCTATATTTCGCGGATGGGACGACAGCCCTAGCCAGTGCAGTCATTGGGTGCGACGGCATCAAGAGCCAGGCGCGGGAGATTGTTTGCGGCCCGAGTGTTCAGGCGACGTACGTTGGTGAATATGCATACCGAGCCATGGTGCCAAAGGCGGATGCCGAGAAAGCCCTCGGAAAAGAGCTCGCTCGGAATGGCCAGCTCTACTGCGGCTATGGCGCCTACGTTGTTACATATCCGGTCGAACATGGGGACTTCACCAATATGGTTGCCATCCCTCGTGAATCGGGCGAGTCATATTCTTGGAGCCTGGCCGATTGGACTGTCCCAACCACCAGGGACGAATTCGTACAACACTTCAAAGGCTGGTACCCGCCTCTCGTCGAAGTAATCGCGAAATACTGTGGGCCACAGAAATGGGCCCTGTTTAACCTGCAACACTCGGCGCCATACTATAAGGGCAAAATATGCCTCCTCGGAGACTCTGCACATGCCACCACCCCGCACTTAGGAGCCGGCGCCGGTATGGCCATGGAAGATGCATTTATTTTAAGCAGCCTCATAGCGTCCGTCAAAAGCTCTGAGGGCATCGAGAGTGCGTTCCGAGCATTCGATTCCGTAAGAAGACCGCGAACCCAGCAATTGATAAAAAATAGTAGAATCGCCGGTCTGGCAACTGATTTCATGATGCCTGGCGTCGAAGACGACACCGATCGAATGAAAGACCATTTTAAGGCGTGGTATAAATGGCTGTGGCATGAGGATCTCGAGGCTCAATTACAGCTGGCGAAGAATCTACTGAAGGTGCGGGACGATGCGATTACTGATCGACTTGCATCTATCTAAGCAGGGATCTAATATGATGACATTGACTTGTTCTACCTTGTTCCTTTCGTCTAGGAGTAAAGCTGTTCCTGGGAAACAGATTAGTAGGTTCAATCCTTTTTCTACATTGTGTAGGGCTTTCTTCTGTGGCGCTGACAAATGGATCCATCACGTCATTTTTTTTTCTTTGAGCAGCCACGAACTTCAAACTACCGAGGTGTGATTGCTAATGGCCCTAAAACACTAACGACAGCAAGACATATTAATTCAATTCTGTCGCATCTTTTATTTCAGACCATTCCATCAATAGGCCTCCAAGGTTCACTTCAATTCCGCATCAATTACATCTCTTGCAAATATCATGTCACAGTCACGCCTGTTCAAGCCGCTAAAGGTCGGCAATGTCACCCTCAACAACCGTATCGCCATGGCTCCCTTAACGCGATTCCGCGCTTCAGACGAGCATATACCTCTCCCCATGGTCGCCGAGTACTACGCCCAGCGCGCATCAGTTGCAGGCACGCTCCTTGTCACAGAAGCCACCTTCATCACAAAAGAAAACGGCGGCTATCCAAACGTACCCGGAATCTACAACGACGACCAGATAAAAGCTTGGCGCACTGTCACCGACGCGGTGCACAAGAAAGGCAGCTACATCTACCTCCAGCTCTGGGCTTTGGGTCGTGTTGCAAACCCAAAGGTTGCTGAGCAGGAAGGCTTCACAGTCAAGAGTTCCAGCGCTGTTGCGCTCTCCGCAGACCTTGCAACACCAGTTCCACTAACGATTCCGGAGATCGAGGAAACAACTAAAAGTTACGCACAAGCCGCAAAGAATGCTATCGCAGCTGGTTTCGATGGCGTAGAAATCCACGGCGCTAATGGGTATCTCGTCGATCAATTCCTCCAAGACAAGGTCAACCAGCGAACAGACGCGTACGGTGGTAGTATAGAGAACCGTTCGCGATTTGCATTAGAGGTTGTTGAAGCCGTTGTTGAAGCCGTTGGCGCTGAGCGCACTGGAATCCGTTTCAGTCCCTTCAGCACATTCCAGGGTATGCGCATGGACGACCCAATCCCACAATTCTCCGATATTATCTCTAAGATCAACAAATTCGGCCTCGCCTATCTTCACGTCGTCGAGTCGCGGATTTCTGGCAACGCTGATGTCGTAGCTTCAGACAAGCTCGATTTTGCGGTTAACCTCTTCGATGGCCCCCTTCTTATCGCGGGCGGCTTCCGCCCAGATTCGGCGAAGAAGTTAGTAGATGAAGAGTATCCGAATAGGGACGTTTTGGTTGTGTTTGGACGATACTTTATTTCGACGCCGGATTTAGTGTTTAGAATTCAGGAGGGGATTGCGTTGAATGAGTACGATAGGCAGCAGTTTTATAATCCGAAGAGTGCGGATGGGTATACAGATTATCCTTTCAGTCAGGAGTTTCTTGCGAGTACGGGGGCGAAGGCGAAGGCTTGATTGTGGTTGACAGTCAAGGTGTGAGATATCGATCGTTGTGGCCGTAGTGTGATAGTGTTTAGATGGAGTTATGGCAGCTCCATAGTTTCCAGCATCGGTGCAGGTGAGATGATTATTAGAAATTACCCATAGAATCATAGGTTTGTCTTTGTCTTCTCCCCTGCTTCGCTCTCGCAATCATAAACTCCTCATCTCCTCATCTCCTAGTGATTCGCACCGCCCTCTAACCTCCGTTCGCCATCCTTACCTCTGTTTCTCACTTTCCGAATCCGCTTTTTTTTCTGCAAATATCAATTCAACTCAACAATTTCTAATGGTTCAAAACAAGCAAACCAGTGCTCGATTGTGTAGTTGATTATTACGTCAGTCTAACATTGCGAACGGATGTTGAGCAAGGGACATCCCCAGTTCAAGCCTTGGTCAAGACTTGTCATTTAACAAATTTTGAAGGGTTTGAAGGGGGGTGAGAGAATAGGCCTCTTTATTTACTTGTACTAGTTCTGGCTTGTTCGAACAACCCTTTTTGGCCCTAAAAATCTTCAGTTTACCGACAAACAAGTGATAAATCCCAGTAAGTGAGCAGATTTCGCATCCTGTAGTCAGAAGTAGTGATTTTCGCAATACATCAGACACGTCACCACGCGAAGCTACATGGATTGGTGGCGGATTTCATCTCCTAGCATGCATTAAAAGTCTATATTCTTCCCCCTTATTAGAGTATTGCAGTGAGGTTTGATAGATCACCGGACATATTCGTAAATGGTATCGGCGAGCACTCGTGAGTTAGTAAACAAGGAACGAACATTTGACCACAAATTAGGAGAATAGAGCGATGAATTGAAATAAAACGGAGGATACCTTTGAGAAGAAGTAGTGTTCCGTGCACTCCAAGTCAACATAAGCTATTGTCAGCGGAGAATATTCGAACTATACAGTCCTCGATTAATAAGAACCGAATTAAGATCAGCGTTCCCAACCGTACGTACTACGACTCGTAGATACGTGAACGTAGCAGTCACGTGAGCCGTTGAAACGTAGGAGGAGTGTGAGCTGTAACGTACGTAGGAGCCAGCTCCCATTACAGACCGTAATACGTCTTAGAGAGATAATATTTCCTAGTAATATAAGGTTTTATTAGACAGCTATAAAGACGTGTTAGAAGAGTGTTTAAAGTTATATTTTTAAAGTAATAATTAAGTAAAAACTTTATAGTTTATATAATAATTAAAAAGCTAGTAGAGAAAAAGATTAAAGCGTAGAATCTTATAATTTTAGTTAAGAATTATAATTACTTATAAACTTACTTATTATAAGCTAGTGTCACGATTGTGCACGAGTAAGGTTATAGAGCTTCACAGAGGTCTAGTTTAATTACTACGTGAGGTATTATAGTAGGTACAAGACGTTGTGTAAGAAACAGGAAGGTTTAGAAAAAAATTAGTAATTAAATACTTAGCTTAAAAGTCTAAGCGCTTTAGGTATAAATTAAGCCTGTTCTAAGTTTAGTTAGTGTTAAAGTAGTTTATACTTAAGTTTATGTCTATATTATGTTATATTTATGTTAGACGTGCACTAATAATACTCTAGTACACGTCTAATACAGTTATGTCTAGGATCTAAAAAGGATACTGTAATAGTACTCCCCCTTTTATTAAGAAAAGAATTCTTTACATTAGTAGTTCTAGCATTAAGTTATCTTTATTAGAGTATAAGTTTAGTTTAGATAAGTATTAGGCATAGAATTAGATTACTATAGAGTTTTTTTATAAGGCTTCTATAGGTTTCTATAATAGTTTGTTATATCTAGTTTATTTTATAAAGTATTTATAAATATATTTTTTTTTATTAAACTAGATTTATTTAACATTTTTTATAACATATTTTAGTTTATTATTTATAATAACAGGTTTAGGTAGTAAGTTTAGCTATTTAAGTAGATAATTAGATTTAGAAGCTACTTAGCGCAGCAATAATACATAGAACATAGGGTGTATCTTTATGCTGTTAGGTAGGATTAATTAGTAAGCATGTAATAAGACTATATAGGCTACTATAAAAAAGCTAAAGTTCTTTTAATTAAGTTTCTTTAATTATTAGTTTATTTAGATATTTCTAGTGTCTAGTTAGACCTTCTTACTAGCTGCATATATAAGGGCAGGGGTTTAAAATTAGTTTACATACTCTTGTTAAAAAGCTTAAGCCTATATAAGCTTTTTATAAACATATTTAGATATATTTTAGATTTTATTAATAAGTTTATTTACATCTATTACTTATACAGATTAATAAGTTAGTTAGAGAGTATTTAAAAGTAGTTTAAATTCTATTTAAAAGTAGTATTTATAGTTTACTAAGAATAAGAATACTTATGTTAATTTAAATATTATATTATTAGCTTTAAACTATGCTATAGCTAACTATTTTACTTAGTTATCTTACTAGTAGTTTATATACACTTATAGAACTTATTTTATTATAGTGTTTATGTTCTTAGTCTAGCTGTTAGTCTCTAGGTAAAAAGCTATAAATAGATAGAGGATAATTTAGAGCTATTTATAAAGTTTATCCTAAAAGGCTAAGACAAACTGCGTACCTTTGTCTAATATAATTATGTTAGGCAGGCTATAGTAAACTTATATGTATTAGTAGAATAACTAGCCTATATTAGAGGCAGTTATAAAGAAATATAGTATTAGGTGTTAATACTTAGTTAAGTAATTAACAACTACTATAATATTTATATACTCTTTAAATAAAAGTAGGTTTATAATAAAATTAATTAATATATCTTTTTAAGCTTATTTAAAGATTAGGAGTAGTTTAAGTAGGCTATTATACCTTTCTTAAAAGGCCTTTACTTTACAGCAAGTATAGCAACATAACATGTATTAGCGTACAGTATAGAACATGCAGGGCTAGTAGTACTCTCTCTATAGTAGGTTAAAAGTCTTTTCTCTGCCTAGGTGTCCTCTAACAAGCAAGTTGTGTATAATTTAGAGTAGTTTAATTCTTAGTTTATTAAAATTAAGAATTATAAGTTAGTTATAGTAATATAGCTTACTATTTTAGTTTTTATAGTTAGCTAGTGTTACCTTCTTTAACTAACTAGTGCTGTTTTAGAGTAGGTCTAAAGTTTCTTAAATAAACTTATTATTTAAATACTTATTAGTAATAATTTAATTAATTATTTAATCTATTTTATTTAAGTTAAGGTCTAAAAATAGCTTAAGTTAAAGTAGAGTTTAGTGTTAAGCCTTTTACACTTTTTTTTAAGTAAGAATGTTTTAGAATTACTTTATAAAGGCATCTAGTTTCCCTCTATTTTAACTAAAATAATGTTACAATCCTTGCTTCGTGGAAGCACTCAGGTCTGGTGATGTTCCTAGGGGATGAGTAGGACGGGTGGAAGGGGCCAATCCAGTAGGGTGTACAGTCCTACGTACAGGCTATTGGGCTAATAGAGAATGATGGGTGACTAGATTATAGTTTGCCCTATGTGCGGCAGTAGGGAGGCTAGGGTTAAACAGTCCTTTAGGACAAAGTTAGAGGTATATATAGTGTAAGATATATAAATAGTATTACAGCTTTTTAAAAAGCTAAATGCTACTTAGTTTATATAATAAATAAACTAAATGTTAAACACGCCTTCTAAAAGTTGTTTAATGTAGGAACTATATACATGTGCTAGGGTGCTAAGGGGAGCTAGAGGAGTTTATAGGAGCCTGCTAAAGAGAGCTCCTTAAGCTCCCTTAAGCTCCTAGTAATACGCAGCCTGCCTTCCTATTAGATAACGCATTCTTTTATAATCTTAGGCAGCTGTGCTGCCTCTGTGTCCTCTAACTAGTTTCTAAGCAAGCCCTGCCCTAATCTAGCTAGATTGTGGAGCACTGTTAGTGGAGTTACGCTAGTCTAACTATAGACTATAACACGCTGCCCCTCCTTCTTAGCAGCGTCTTTGCTGCTCTGCTTACACAACTGTGTTAGTAAAAGTTTATTTATAAGGTGTGCATCTTTCTGCTAAAAGGCGTCCTTAACATTTTTTTTTTATACTAAATAGCTTGCTAGTCTTATTTATTCTATTATCTTTATGTTGCTCTTTGTTTTAATCCTTTTTACTAGACAAAGATAAAGCTTTATAGTGCTTGCTAATTCTCTAGGTTGTCTTATGTGTTAACTCTATTTTTAGATAACTATGTTAAGTGTGTAAAAAAGTATAGTAAATGTAACACTTTTATTTCTAATGCTGCATAGGATTAGTTAGAGAAAGAATAGAAGACACTTTTCTAAGAAGCAGTTACTGTAAAAGTTTATAAGTAAGAGCTTAATAACTAGATGTTGCGTTAGGTTTAGAAAACTCTAGAGGCAAAGGCTAAGAAGCGTTCTAAACAGAATTATATCTAAAAATTACTAGATTTATTAGATGCTTATTATGTAAAGTACTTAAAGGGAAATCTCTTCTCTTTAGATAAAATAAAGGCCCTAGAGGCTAAAGTAAGGAGCTGTTCCCCTTCTTAACTATTATTAGCTAAGACTTGTTTCTAAAGGCTGCTACTATCTAGTAATAACATAGCTGTTCCTTTTAATATAGGTGCCTTATTACCTAGCTAGTTTCTTTTAGACAAGCTTAAAGGTACCCTTATACTAACAGCTACGCGTTCTGCAAATTCTTAGCTAGTTTCTATGTATTTTTACTAGTAAGCTACTTTTTTTATTTTACTAGAAATTCTTTCTAGTTTTTTTAATTACCTATAATATATTTAACTTTATATTTTATTTCTTTGTCCTTTTATTTTTATGTAAATAAAGGGATCTCTTTAGGTGCTTTTTCTAATCTAGAGATATAGAACTATAAGTGTATTTTTATATATAGGGGAAGCTTAAGCTTATAGTTGTCTTGTTAAGTTTAAAGAACTTTATATAGTTTTATTCTTTTTTTTGCTAGCTTTCTAGAGGGTCTTAGTATCTTTAAGTTTTTAGTGTTAAGGTACACATAATTCTCTAGGTAAATTTCTAGTCCTAGTTATTATAATTTATTTATATATTTCTTTATTATTTCTCTGCTAGTCTTAGCTTCTATAGCTAACTTTTTGTGTATTTAACATAGGTCTGCTAGCTAGTCTATTAACTCTTATAAATCTA